TCAAAGTATTATTGACAAAATTAGCATCAAACTTTAGTTTAGCAGTTGGTGGAGTGACGATTCTGTTTCGAAGTTCTTTATAAACAATTTTTGAATACGCTTTTTCAAGTAAAACAATTTGACCACTTAAGCGTAACTTAATCTCATCACGCAAATTGAATTGTGTGTCACCTGTGTAGATGCAGGATTTCAACGATTCACGCCATTGAGTTGGTAGAGCGTCTATTAAAGAGACAAGCCTAAAAGCATCCAGCGGCGAAAGGTTCAAGACTCTCAACTCGCTTTTGATTATAAGTTCATGTTTATTCGAGATTAAATCACCCACTCGAAAGATCCCTTTCTCAGCGAGATTTCGAAAATACACAGACTTGTCACCAACACAAATAAATTTGTTGTTCCATAAGATAACTTTTGACAAGTCTTTTCCATTTAAATCCTGTATATTTAAATCATTTACCGCAGAGCACTTTGCAAAAGATTTTAAGTATTCTTCATAAAAGGCTGGTAATTTGATAGTCAATTTCTTCAAATCAAAGTCGCAACATAAGACTAATTTACCACCAACAGGTTTCAGATAATGCAAAAGGATTATTTTCCATCCACTCGGTTGATCATTTGCCAATTTTTTGCAGCAAAGTATTCTTTGTGTTTCAATTATGGAGTTTAAATGTGGGGCTTTAAGTCCTCCATCTTCGATATCACTGATAAGTGCAGAGCGTTTAACTTTATCCTTTCCTTTCCATATAAAATCAAAGATAATTTTGTTCGCTTCTTTCACAAATTCTTTATCCAATGATATCAAGCTCGTGCGATATAAGAAGATAGGGATAATAAAGGTTTTGACAATTTGAATTCTCCCTATGATAGTCAAATCCCTCCACCTCCAGATTCGTAGCTTAAGTTGGATGGAGCTGATTAATTCATTGATGTTTAGCTTTTGTTTTGCTTGAATGTCATAGGTAAAATGTACTCCTAAGATTTTAGCTGGCTTCTTGTACGGTACAGGCCAGGTTACCCAGTAACAAAAGCTCTGTCTTTTCGTGGTTAACCTTTAGGCCAGAGCAAGTTCCATAATCTTCTATAAGTTTAAGAAAGTTTGTTAGAGAGAGGTCATCCTTTAAAAACCCAGTCAGGTCATCTGCGAAAAGACTTAATTTGATCTCTTCTTTATCGACTTTAATACCACGAATGTCATTACTGTTACGTATGTTAACACATAAAACTTCTAATGCTATAATAAATAAGTAAGCAGAGAGAGGATCTCCCTGTCTTACTCCTCTTTCAACTGCAAAGGATGAAGTTGCAAAGCCATTATTTAAGACACAACTCGAGACATTCTTGTAAAAAGTGTGGATCCATTGAATAAAAGATGGTCCAAAACCAAAAACGGATAACGTTCGAAATAAGAAGTCCCTACTAAGTGTGTCAAAAGCTTTTTTAAAATCTATACAAACCATTCTTCCGTCAATACTGTATCTCTTTGAGAATTCCATAACGTCCTCTATGGTTCTGACCGCGTCGAAAATGGTTCTACCCTTTACATATGCAGATTGATTGAAATGTATGATGTTTGGTAAAACATTCTCCAATCTCTTGGCAATGGCTTTTGAACCGATTTTAACATCAACATTAATAAGCGAAATCGGTCTCCAGTTTGATAAGTCCCTTTTGTCTTTGTCCTTCTTTTCTATTAGGGTAATAATGGCTTCTTTCTGAGAGTTTGAGAGCTCACCATGATCATAAGAGTAGTTTAAGCTGTCTACTAATACCTGTCCTAAGAGGCCCCAAAAAGCCCTGTAAAATTCGACTGTTAGTCCGTCATTGCCTGGTGACTTGTTACTTTCAAACAGCTGAAGACTTTTGTAACACTCTTCAACCGTTAATTTTCCCTCGCAAATTTGAACATCAGTATCAGAGAGTTTTGGCATTTCAGGATTGTTTAAAAAAGAGTTTACCGTGTGTTCAGATGGGCTAAGAGGGTCACGCTCACAAAGATTAGAATAAAAATTTTGAATTTCTTGCAATATTTTTTTAGGATCCGTGATTAGAACTCCATTATCGTCAAAAACCTTACGGACAGAACTCTTAGCTTTCTTATGTGTTTCGAGGTTTAAAAAGAACTTATTGCTTTTTTCTCCTTTTTCATACCAAGTGGCTTTCGATCGGATTATAGCACCTTTTGCTATCTGCTCATAGATAGAATCATATTCCATTTTTAACAATTCAAACTCTTCCTGGTTCTCAGGAGTTGGTGAACTACCGCATCTCTCTTCCGAAATCTTCAAAGAAGCCTCAATATCAGAGATCTTTCTTCTCCTTTCACGTGCTTTTTCTTTGCTATACTTTATTGTAATTTGTCTAATCCTGTACTTAATTAAATCCCACAACAGCCTTTTATCTATAACATCTTTGAACTCCTCTAACCACAAAGGCATACTTTCATTTATCAGTGCAACAAAGTCGTCGTCATTTACAAGACTAGCATTAAACTTCCAGAAAGAGGGGCCGTGTTTTGGTTTGTCTATGCTGTTAAGATGGAGAAAAATTGCCGAATGGTCTGAATTTATCGAAGGAATGATATCGCACTTCTCAACGTCGTCTTGGCATACATCGCTAATCAGCCAATAATCAAGTCTTCTTTGAATGAAAGCATTTCTTTGACGCCACGTAAAGCGTTTAGAGTCCGGATTTCGTATGCGCCAAATGTCAACCAAATCAAAATCCAGGCATAAGTCTTGTATGTGTTTTACAGAATCTTTTCTGAAAGGTCTACCACCGGAACAGTCAAGATCAGAGTCGAGTGTTACATTAAAATCTCCCCCGAGAATAATTCTAAGCTCTTCATTAACGACGCGGTCTTCAATATTTTTGTTTAACTTATCAAAAAAACGGCATTGGTCTTGAACCTTGTTTGGAGCATAAATATTTACAAACAAAAATGGCGAACCTTGGACCTCAGCTTCAATTATAATGGATCGGCCCTCGTCATCACAACTAATAGTTCTTGGATTAAAATCTAAGTCACTTCTCACTAGAATCATCACTCCACAACTATGATTAGAGCCGTGAGCAAAAAAGAGCTTACCTCTCCATTGTGTTCTCCAAATGTCTTCAACGTCAACAGTGCTATAGGTCTCTTGAAGGAAGATAATACCATACCTCCGTTCATTTAGCCAGGTAAAAAGGGCTTTCCTTTTCGTGGCGGCACGAACCCCTCGCACATTAAGGGAAAGTAATTTAAAATCAAAAAGTTCTTTCATGAATGGGATCAGGAAGAAAAAATAAATTATGCGCATACAAATAATTTTCACCGCAGTGGTACAAAAAATTGAAAAGAGGTGGCAACTGAGGTGCAAAAACACACAGCACGTAGGTAGACAATACACACAAAACGCACAAATACTCACAAAACATAAAACAACAAAGGAAATAACAAAAGGACAAATAAAACAAAGAAAAACAAACAAACAAAGAATACATTACACAGCGAAGTTTTAAGAAAGAGCGAAAAAAGGCAGCGAGGTAATTATTACCTATAAGACGCTGCCACAGAGCTTGGGACAATCGTTTCAACTACACCAATTGTTCTAACCTACACATGCCACTCCCGTTACAAAAACAGACTGATGAAAAGCATAAACAAAGTCAAATAAAATAAACTAAGTCCAAAAAAACCTAGATTTGTCTATAAGGGAACAAATCGTCCATCGATAAACAATTTATCGGGTTCTGGTTTGCTAAAGAAAGCAGTCTTTCCCTCCTCTCTTGCTTTTTTGAGACGTGGCCACTGCTTTTTTCTTCTTTCGCTTATTTCTCTAGGAAAATCCGCGTAGACCTTAATGTCGATATCATCAGCCAGCTCACGTACTCTTCGAAAGACCAGCTCACGCTCTGGAAATCTCAAAAAACGAACAATCACCGGTCTAGTTTCGCCTGTCTTCTTCTTTCCTATTCTGTGAGCTCGCTGGAATTCAATATCTGCTGCGTTTTCCATCTCCAATTCGTCGCTAAGGAATTTTCGTACAACTTCATACGTGCTCTCAACTCCATCAGCAGATTCTGGAAAACCAAAGAATCTTAGGTTTTCTCGCCTGTTGTACACCTCTTGATACAATATTTTGTCCTCAAGTTCCTTGATTTTGACTTCGTTTTCTTTATCATTCTTCTTTAGGTCTTCAATTTCGGCGTTTGCAAATTCCACTGACTTGCTGAGGTCGTTAACTTCGCCTTCCAATTTTCTTGTCTTCTCGTCAATCTTATTCAGCTCAGTTTCGAGCTTATTAACCGACTTCTCCAAAGCGGAGAAGCGTTCAAATATACCTTCTAGATTCTGTAACCTGCTTTCTACTCCTGCGAGCATTTCGAAGATCCGTTCCAATTGTGTCGCGATTTTTTCTGTCATGTTCAGGGCCTCCAGAACTTGATCGTCCTCGCTAAATACTACGCCAATGTTCGGTTCCGAACGAGGACTGTTGCAAGCCTTTTTTCCTTCTGGAGAGCAAATATCGCTATCAGAGCTGATACTAACACTTGCCTTCGTTTTCCGTTTACAACTTTGAGCCATAGACTAGGCTTAAGGACTACAAATTTTTAAGAAAGGACAAAAAGTTAACGGGAGTGAAACATCCACGTCTTCACTCGCACATGGTCGCCCCAGTCTCTTTATCTGCCTTTTTACCACTCTTGCTTGTTGTCATGTTTTGTAAGGAAATAATAATAATGAGAATAATAATAATAATACTAATAATAAACTTTATTTATGTGTCAGGATATTCATCTTACAAGCTAATTGGTGACACACCGAAAAGAAACAAAGGAATAAAATGCTTACGGTTATAACTATGGCGGTGTAAATTCGACCTATAAAATGTATGATAAGAATATATCGCTATATATAAGAATACAAGCACTAAGAAGAAATTAAGAGGGGCATTAATAGCAATTCTCACAGTTAGAATTATCAACCAGTTCCACTATGTTTCGTGTTTTTAATTCTAGATCTAAACTTTGTTAAATATGAGATATTTCTAATTTCTTTTGGGAGTTTAGACCATAGGTATCGTTCCAAATATCTGATCGAATGTTTACCATATCCAACAGTGTTGAAATTCGGGATATTATTCTCAGTTTAAATTGTACTTGAGGGACTTAGTTACAAATACGTCTATAAATATGTACGTAATAGACCCATATGATATTTGAACATAGCTGGTGAAATATCCTGCAGTCTCCCATTATGAAGTGTGCTGCGACTGGATTTCTTTAACAGTTCATCATTAGTAAACAAGTTACTACTGAACACAATAGGGAGTGCTCTTTCCTGAGGCTTTTCTAATTTTCTAATAAATTAAGTCATACTGAATTTACAGACATTAATGACTGTGTAAATCACACTTGTCAAAACGGTGGCTCTTGTCTGGATGGCATCAACAATTTCACTTGTAACTGCCTTAAAGGGTATACTGGGAGTCATTGCCAGACACGTATGCTGCTTTGAAGCAAAAATTTGGCTTTCTTACTGAATGCAATTTCAGTTAACCATTAATTCTTGAAACAGTTTGACTTGCACTTTTAAAAGATCACTCACGTTATAAATTGTACTTCTATGTGTTTGTCAGACATTGACGACTGTGTTAATCACACATGTTTGAACGGTGGGTCGTGTGTAGATGGTGTAAACAATTACACTTGCAGATGTGTTGCAGGATTTAAAGGAGATCGCTGCGAGAAAAGTAAGACGGATGGAATTTCATTGATGTTAAATAGATATTTGATGTCTTTTCAGTCAGTAGATTAAAAAAAAAGCACTGAAAAACTATGTAAGGAGAGTCGATAAGAAATGTAATCAGTGATAGAGAAAATTACTAATATATTCTTTACCTTACCGATTCGCTACTGGTTTATGTAAATCAGATTTCTACAGTATCTTTGCGAGTGCAATGTATCAGCTTCTTGTAAATTTGCATACTGTGCCTGCGTAGTTCACGCAATGAACAAAACATAATGCAAAAGTCAGGTTTACAATAAAGCACCACCAAAACCTCAGTTAAAAAAAATTATGGGCTTTTCTGCTCTGGCCAATAGACTAAACTAGGGGTACCTTCCGGTAAGTGCCAACGAGGCGAATTCGTTTATCTTTTGTGGAATGTGCCTATTCAGATCTTCGCGATATTTTTTTTCATAATTTTAGAGGTTTAAAATGGATTCCGCAAAAGAAAAGGATGACACCCAAGTTCAAAACAACAACTTTGGCACATTCTAGGCTTTCACTAAGTTAGCACTTAAATTTCTTGGAAAATTCCATTGTATCAAAACTATAAACGTTAGAAGGTTAGTTTAAATGAGGCCTTTGACTGCGGCAATTAAAAGTTATAATTAAATTCCGAGCAACAGCCTCATCAGGGATAAGAAAAATATTTTGCGTGGTAATATACACCAAAAAATATTGGTGTAAAGTAAATGTGTGAAAAGCGCAAGAATGGGGCGGAATGTATCGGAGGTATAAAAATATAAACTTGAATAAAATACAAAGATCTAATGAGCGAGTGTCACAGGACAAAGAGTCTCTTGAAAGGCATAATGATAGTCTTCAAGAAAACGTCCGCAAATTCGTTGCATTCCTCACGGGAGTTGTGAGCTGTCTCAATGTAAATCGAGCAGCAAAAAAACATGCTGGTTGACAAAATCTCTCGAAAGACAAATAAATTTTAACAAAAAAAGGTCCGCAAATACTTTGCATTCCTCACGGAAGGTGAGGATTGGCCCAATGTAAATCGACCTGGGAAGAACACGCTGGTTCTCACAAAAGTTTTGAGAATACAACCCTAGGCCTTGATCAACTACCGCTTAATTCACAAAGGAAAAG